GCTTTGCGAGGAAACTCGCCTTACAGTCTGGTGTCAGGCCAGACTATACGTATTGTTTTTCTTGCAAACAGTCGTGCGCGCGGCCTTTGTGGAGCCTAACGGCTGCGCGGCTATACTCACCGTCTCCTCCCCTCCCGACTTTAAGGGTAGCTCTTTCGGAGATGTTATATCGGATCGGGAGTATAGCTCGCGCGCCGTTGCCTTTGGCTCAAGGCACGCGCGCCCTATTTGCGCGGACACTGCTGGTGTTCGCTATGTGCTGGAAAGATCATTACATCGATATTATCCTATCTTATCCGTCCACTCCCCATACTGAACTACCCCAGCATGGCAGTGGACGCTATCTGCCATCCGCTTCCCCTGGTATCGGATGCTATTTGACTTACCATAGTCACTTCAGACTAGGCGCAGTGGGGCATATCGCCACCTACATGTTGCTCGCGTCGTCGTCGTCGTCGTCGTTGTCGTCGTCGTCGCTCGTCGCTCGTCGCTCGTCGCTCTTCGCGTTGTGCACGCGGGCGTGGCTGTCGTGCCGGAACCACACGGCGGGGGGGGTCGTTACGTCATACCCCCCTCCCGCCCCCCCTCCATGACGCCCGTCATCGCCGAACATTAAAAACGCGCTCAATTCAGCAGCCGGAAACTGTTTTTCGAATCGTCTGCCCCCTCCCCGGCGTTTTATTTTGCCGCTTTGCGGAAACTGATTTTCCATTCGTCGTCCTGCGTTCGTTCGATCACCCGCGGCCGCGGGAGGAGGATGGCAGAGAGGGGGCGCCGGAAACGCTGCTAGGAGTCCAAGCGCAGATTTCGGAAATGTACGGAGGATCGCCAACAGTTTATGTTTATGTAGTTTGTCCATCCCCGATTTAAGAATCTACCTGAGGACGGGCGTCCCCGACTTCATTCCAAGCTCCAACCGCCGTCCTCGCTGACGGCGGTTGGAGCTTGAGAATGAGGCCAACAACGCTGCCGCGGGAGCAGTGTCGGAAGAACAGAACAAGTTCGGATCGATCAACAGATATGAACAACACACTCCCCAAATCCTCTGTGCAAAACAAAGCACGCGGGAGGATTCGAACCGAGCGGAAACTCGAAAATGAGGCCAGCGTTACAGCGGGAACAAGATGTCGGAAGAACCGAACACGTTCCAATTTAGAAGCGAATATGAGAAACGGATTCGCGCCAAACCTGTGTGTAACTAAAAACACGATACGCGGAGGGGTGCAGGCAATCTTCCGGAGTGCATCAGTATTCATATTGAATAACTGTAGAGAAGCAGAACTAGCAGGAAGAAGGTGACAAAGGATAGAACAACGAGGGGAAAAGGAAGCATGAGAAGGTTGAGGAGGAGGAGGGGGAGGAGGAGGAGGAGGAGGAGGAGGAGGAGGAGGAGGAGGAGGAGGAGGAGGAGGAGGAGGGTGAGGAGAATAGGAAGAGGAGGTGGGGAAGGAGGTCGCTGTCAGAAGGCGGCGCAAAATGTCTGCCTGCCGCGCGTGGCTGGCGGATCCGAAACTTTTACTTTCATTCAAGGCTGGCCAAAATCAGCCTCCGCGGATCGTCAGCCCGCGAAGTCTTTCACAGCTTTTGCTTGTCCGGCTGTGAATTGACCCCCCGCCCCCCCGCCATGAATTGTCAGCCCGCGCCCCCCCCAGGCCTCTGGACAAACCGGGATTGTCCGCCCGCCGTCTGCCTGCCCCGCCCCACCGTTTTCGCGGTGGCGCTGAGGGCTTGCGAAACAATTGTTTAATCGTCCGCCCCCCAACAGACCTCGGCCTTTGGACTCGGGGTCCTCCTTCCTCCTGGGGCCGCCTCGCCTCTCGTCGCATCGCATGTTTTCGGTGACCGTCGCGTTGTTGGGCCGCTTCTTGCCGACTTCGGACCCGTGCTGCCCCCTACACAGCCGCGTGGCCGCCACCGTCAGCTTCGTCGCGTCCTCTGCTTCTGACGCACGCCTGCGCCGTCCCCGCCGTGCTGCGAGCGGCACCTGCGGCCTTCCAGAGAGATGGCCTGCGCCATTGATGCATCGAGGCAGCTGCCATTCGCCCTCCTCGGAGGCAGGCCGGCGGAAGCCGAGCGGGGGCGGCTCCGTTAGCGGAATTCGCCAGCTAACATAGGCCATGGTAATGAATGAGCGCGCATGTTTAAAACAAAGTCTTGACAAAAACGGTGATGTGTTAAAACGAGAAACGGATTTATTAATTTGCGGCGCCGAATCAAAACGAGACAACACATCATCTAGTAAACGCAGAAGTCGGTTTACTTACTTCAAAAGCGGAGTTTCTAAATCGGGGGTCGTTTTCTAGATCCCATATCCTATCAGTACCATGGCCTGAGTGGTTCGATCAGGAATGCCTGCGAAAGCAAAAGATGGCCCCAAAGAGGTGTCAGCTGTTCGGGGTGCAGGGTTTCCGGAGCCTGTCATCTAGAGATCCAGGTTCGATTCGACGCCCGACTCCTGATGCGCCTCACTCGAGCAGACGGGGCAACCAATCGCTCGGGATCTGCAGGATGCCAGACGTGTTGCGAGCGCACCTCGCTTGCATCTCGCCTCTGCCTTCCCCCCCTCTTCTTGCAGAAGGATCCACCGCAGTGCTGACGAAACCTGCTGCAAAACATTCTCACATTTGCGAGCAGTCTGTCCAGTTGATGCCGACACGCCCGCATGACAGCAAGCACCGGTTTTGGAAGACCAGCTGTAGAGTACAACCGGGCATCTGTCGTCCTCATGCGCCATGGGCTTCGTCATACTCGCAGTTCCCTGCTTCTCGTGCTTGCTCTGTGTCTTCTCCCCCATCCAATCTTCCGTCACGTCACGCTCGCACGGCGCCGCTATCGTCTCCCCGGCTCTGCCTCGAATGCTCGGGCGCCGCGGCGCCACCGCTCCGCTCCCAGGGGGTCCGCTCCCCGGCGCGCACGTGGCCGTCCGTCCGTCTGCCCCCCCTCGGGGGCGGCAAAGGGGGGGGTGATGACTGGGGGGGGGATATCACGTCGTGGGCCGTGGTATTCTTCACGCTTCGCGTATCCCCACCAGGTTCACCTTGGGTTGCAGCACCCTTGCACCCGCCGCCCCGGCGCCGGCCGCGGCCCGCGCGCGCGTCCGGCCAATTAGTTTCGGCCGCAGCCCGACCGTTACTGTAGCCGTTACTCGCCGCCACTGGCGCTTCCGCCCGCGGCTGTTTTGTTTATGATTTTTATTTATTTGTATGTTTTTTGTTTGGAAAAAAGTATCCCCACCAGCGTCCCCGACTAGTGTTCGGACGGCTTTCGACCTGCTTCGCGAGCCCGCAGACCAAAAAGTATCCCCACCAGCCCATTCAGAAGCCCTGCCCATGAGAGCTGACGGGAAAAGGGACGAAGAGACACATCTAGGGAAATAAAGCGAGCAACCAGGGTGAACCGAGAGATCTCTGGGAGCAAAGGGTGGCCTTGGAAGGCCTCTTCGGGCCATCCCTGGGAGCCGCGTGGGGGGCGAGGGGAAGAGGAGGAGGAGGAGGAGCAGGAGGATGATGAAGACGAGGAGAAGTACGAGGACGAGGACGCGGATGAGGACGAGGACGAGGAGGACGAGGACTAGGCTGCTGCTGCTGCTGCTGCTGGTGCTGCTGGGGGGTTGGGGGGCCCTCTTGGAACCCTCTTGGTAACCCTGGAAGGCTTCTTGGGATCATCTTGGAGGCCATCGATTACAGGATGAGGGGGTCCTCAACTCAGCTCCCCCCTCAGGAGCCGGTAACCCGCTTCTTTGGGCTCTCTTGGAGCGCTCTTGGGCGCTCTTGGAGCGGTCTTGGGGCCGTTTGGAGCATCTTGGGATCCATCTTGCGCCAGCTTGGGCTATCGGAGCCATCTTGGAGGTCATCTTGGGCTCTCTGAGGCCGCTCGGGGGCTTCTTGGGGGCCTCTCGGGTGCCTCTCGTGGCCCTGTTGGGACCCTCTTGGAGCCCTCTTGGGGCTCTCTTGGGAGCCCTGGAGCGCCTCTTGGGGCCATCTTCGAGGCTATCGATCAAAGGAGGGAGGCTCCCGATCGAGGCCCACCCCCTCGGGGGGGCCACGATCCTCGTGAAGGGTGTCAAACATTGGCCCTCCCAGGGGCCGAAAAAGGGCCCTCCAACGACCCGCGACCGCCGCCGAAAAATGCCAGGGGAGGGGGTAGGGGGAGGGTCAAGACTCCCTCCCCGCCCGCAAGCCGTCTCGCTCACTCTCACCCGCCCTCCCAACACATACGTAGCACCCGAGTCTGGCCCGAGCCTCAGCATATTCAGCAGTCGTTTTTTGAAAGGGCAGCTACTGGGGGCCGCCGCCGCAGCCGCCTCCGCCGCCGCCGCCGCCGCTGCCCGCCGCCGCCGCCGCTGCGCCGCCGCCGCCGCCGCCGTCGTCGTCGCCGCCGCCGCCGCCGCCGCGCCGCCCGCCCGCCGCCGCCGCCGCCGCCGCCGCCGCCCCCGCTGCCAAACCGCCGCCGCCGCAGCCGCTGCCGCCGCAGCCGCTGCCGCCACCGCCGCCGCCGCCACCGCCGCCGCCGCCGCAGCCGCCGCCGCCGCTGCCGCAGCTGCCGCAGCCGCCGCCGCCGCGAAGTGTACTCTGCATTGTTTTCTGACAGAGATGGTGGGGGGAGGCCGCATCGGGTTGGCTGCGCATGCTCCGAATTTGGAGGCAGATTGTGTTTTGTACAATTGTTTACAGGGATGGTGGGGGGGGGCTCTCATGGTTCGTGGTTGGCTACCAGTCGCCTGGGGGAGGGGGTGTTTATTAATAGGGAATAGTGAGTAAACCCCTCCCGGAAGGGGACGAAGGGTTTTGTGGAAGAGAAGAGGAAGCCATCGTTAGACCACCTGCGCCCAGAGGGCTGGTTTGCTTTCCTCAGATGTTATGGCGCCTCGTCTCATTTCATTACGTCCCTGGCCCCCCCTTGGGCCGCGCACGTGCTGCCTGCCATGATTGCCCCCCCCTTTGGACGCCCCCCCCTCTTGACCACCCCCGACCTCCCTCTCCTCGCAGCACGGGTTGCAGGGGTGACGAAGTTGGTGTTCTCGTCGTCCCCGTCAACTAGATCTTGAGGGCATTGGCCTCCGCCGCAGGTCCCCCGCCTTGAGGGTCAAGCCTCTACATATTGAGCTTCCCTCGCCCCGCTCGCCAGTGAGGAGGAGCTGTAGGGGCGATTGTGAAGATTCGTTGGGCGGCTGGTGTTCAGGACCAAGGCAATCGGCCTGGACGGCATGTAGCCTCACGCTTCGGGGCGTGTGTGATCCCGCCACGACGGGCAACATATCGCGCTGCCTTCAGATCTTGCAGCGTCTTCTGACCATCTCCCTTGACGACTCTCACGCCTGTGCCGTTGGGAGGTGGATGAGGGCAACCATGCGAGGGAGAGGGAGAGGGACGCGGCTGGTCTCTCTGCTGCTGCATCCCATTCCGTTTCCCTCTTGATTTTTCTCTCTGCATGGCGGCCTGGCAGCCCTTTGTGGGGCCAGCGGATTCGGGCCAACTTCCGCCACGGACCCCGACGGGGCCACCGAGGAGGAGATGCCTTCTCTGCCGCAGGCTAGGCCTCTCTGCGCCTCCCCTGCCATCTTCATGCGCCCTGCTCCTGCCTGCCTGCCTGCCTGCCCGCCTCCCTCGAACTACTTCCAGCCTCATCCCTCCGACCTCGCCTCTCATCCATTCTGAGCTGTGGCCACATTTTGCCCCCAGGGCCAAGATGTGGGCGCGAGACTGGGGCTCAAGAGTAGTCATTAGCTCCGCATGCGTGACATGTTTGCGTTGGCAGCGGGCATCGCAGTTGCTCTGCGAAATCGGGAACAAGAAGCAGGATGCGGAAGCAATCAAAGGTATATTGCAAGCACGGAGTCGCGCTTGCGATGTGTGCCCATGGCATCCCGTATGGATTCCCCAAGTATGGGTCGTCCGTTCTGGCTGTTCTGGGGTGGATCTGGTTCGCACATCGTTGGCACTGGCTTGTGTTTGTTTGATACGTACCTACCCCATCGAGAGTCGCGCGTGGACTAGATCGTGTTGACGGGCATCGGGTTTCAAGTTTCCTGGCACATGTGTGCGGTGCATACTTCGTTCGATTGTCAGCGTCCCAGCGTTGACTGTAACCAGATTTGCCGGCTTCGTTTCTGCTGACCGCGCATGTCGTGAGAATTGCATTCACTTGAACAGCTCTCCTATTTATCAGCGCTTGAAAGCCCAGGCTGTGGCAGCGAGAACGGACACCCTGGCAACAATCTGCGTGATCGAGCATTGGAATGAGGCCTAAAGGGAGCCTGGCCCGCACAGATCGGCACGACACGCTTACGTATGGAAGGATTCCTGCCAGGTCGCACACGGCTGCGGTACTGCAGAAGGCATGCCTCGAGGTAGCAGATAAACGGATCGTGTCAGGCGGCGTCCATCCACCCACGACCAGCCCCCGCAATTTGATGCAGAAGGCGGACGCCCACGCCGCCGCCGCCCGCAGCAAGATGAAGGATACAATCGGCAACGGCAGTGCGACGCGATGACCACGACGTTAGCTCTCGCGGCGGGCGCTCTTGACAGCGATCGAGAGTAGCACCGGAGGCCCACCTGGACGCTGCTTGCGACCAGGGTGGAGAAAGAGAACGTCCTCACCTGGTGGCCGCTCTCGATTGCGACACCAGGGTGGTCGAGACATTGCTCAGACGGGGCCCTCAAGCTGGAGCGGCTCGACTTCTGCGAGCTGGTCGCCGTGAGCGCGATCGACGAGGGCGCGTTTCCCGCGCGAGTTGCCCCTCGGTGCTCGTCCGGTGTCTGGCCCCCATGAGCCGAGGGAGGAAACACCACCCCGGCCACCATAACTGGCGCTCGCTGGACGGCCCTGGGCGCCTCCCAAGCAGCCCCGCCCTCTCCGATCCTTGCCTCAGGTGCTTTCACACATGGGCTTCGCTTGTCGGGCTCAAGCAGCCCCGCCCTCTCCGACTCTTGCCTCGGGTGCGTTCACGCGTGGGCTTCGCTCGTCGGGCTGCCTGTCACGAGGGCGCTTCCTCCTGCCCCTTGCCTTGCCGATGGGGCAGCGGGCCGCTCCCCTGGGGCGGGGGGGGGGGGGCGAGCAGAGGCGGAGGCGGGGAGGACCGTCGGGGGTAGGGGCCGCGTGGGCCTGGCAGGCAGTCGCGCGCGGGGCGCGCGGCAGGGGCAGGGCAGCGGGGGCCACGGGGCAACGTTTGGGGGGGGGCGAACATCCGACGAAGGCAAGCACACGCCACCGCCGTGCCAGGCCAGGGTCCTGGGCCGTGGGATGGTGCATAGTTAGACCCTCCTGGCCTCGGCCGGGAGGGCGACCACACCCTTCCAGGGCCAGCGCTGGCCCTGGCCTGGCGCGGTGGTGGTGTATATATATATATATATATAGATGCCTTCTGCGTAGAACAGGCTCTGGGGGGACGCATCGCCCCCCGAACGCCCGTTCATCGCCGATGAGGGGTTCGCTCGCCCACCCCGCCCGGGAGCGTGTGGATGCGCTGTCGGGGGCCTGACGCCGATCCATTGGCGATGTATCCCCGATTCCAGGTTGACGCCTCCCCCCAGAGTCGGTCCTCCCTCAACGTTGCCCCTCAGGTTGGGGCGGGGCGACGGGATTTCGACCACGTCTGTCACCGACTGAGCGCTCGCATGTCCGATCGCGCCGTTGACGAAAGTGACGACGGAGAGTAGGTGAATCGTTCACGGCGCGACATCGAAACGCGGTGACAATGTTGCGTGCCATGCTAGTGAAATAGACGGCAGTGCTTGCTGATCGCGCATGTTTCGCGCGCTGATTACAGCTATCGGCAATCAGGGAAATCAGACACGAAGACATTGTAGCTCGATGTAGTTTTTGGTATGCACCACCTGTTTTTGATTCCCCGTGGTACCACTGGTGCGTTTCATTTTGAGCCCCTGGGGGAGCCCATCCTGCCGCATAGCTCTTTCGAACATCGGCCCCTTCTCTTGCCCTTCCCCCCCATCTTCACAACGCCATCGAGACACCTCTCGCTTTCCGTCCGAGGAAGGAAGCGTATTCCCCGTCCCCACCCAGTCCCCAGTCGATGTTCCCCCGGTCGCCACACTCTTCCCGTTCCCTCCTTCTTCATTTCCGCCCCAACCTTCAACCAGGCTTGCTCTTCCCCCCCACCACATTGTCCGAAATCCCACCCACGCCCAGCCCCGCGCTCTAGTCGGAGCCTATCCACCACCCTCCCACCCTGCCGCTGTTCCCCTTCCGATTCCCACCTGGCCCTGCGTCCCGCGCGCCCCCCTCCCCTTGGCGCCTCGGCCGAGACAGCCTTGACAGGCCACGTACGTCCAGGAATACGCCAAGACGAAGGCAGAAGCTGAGCTCTTGGTGCGCGAGGCGTGCATGAGAACGGGGCAGCTGCGAGGATTGTTCATGTTGTTAGAAGGAGTTGCTGGTCATTGGTGCAGGTACGAACAGCACGGGTGTTGCGTTGGTATGAAATTACCGTCGCCACGTTAGCAATGAACTATGTCAGGTGGTTGCTGGCTTGGATCTCCCAGGAACCGCAATGAGGGGCCAGCTAAATGTCTCTAAAGCCCCGTGGACCCATGGGATGTGAAGAGCGTGAGGGGTGCACCTGAATCAGGCTCCATCGTGCCGTCTTGATGGGCCAGCTGAGCGCCTCTGGGGCCAATATGGCACCAAATGCGTGAGAGGTGTAACAAACGCAGCTCTCTTCAGCTTTCTTGAACGGCCAGCTGAGAGGAGGTCCATTAGGCGCGAAGTGCGTGAGGGGTGTGCCGAAATGAGCCCCCCATGGGAATTGAGGTGCGACTTTACGTTGCAGGCCAGTAGATGAGATTACTGGCCAGCGGAATGTGCGGAGCCGCTCTTATCATGCATGTATGCATGCGATCTCACTATGCTGCATCTCATCAACATTTCATCATCTACCTTCGGGGCTTAACACGGCGAGGGCCCCCAGGGGGCCCATCGAATGGAGCCCGGTGTCTCATAGGCGTGGGGGCGCACGGCATGCGAGAGGAGTTGTGTGTGTGTGTGTGCGAATCGGATGTATGCTTTCGTAGCCCTGAGAGCTCGGACCACTCGTTTCTTTAAGCGTCCAGGGATAACCGCCGCGCGGAATGCGCGAAGCTGTTCCTGGCATGCATGTGTGTACACTGTCTGACATTCATCCATCTCATGGTGGACTCATGGGCCCATGTGTCCTCTGGAGGCTTCCTGGAGGCTCTCTGTTGCGGACTGTCTTGACCATCTCAAGCTGCCTTGGGGCATCTTGGAGCTATTTGGGGGCATCGGGGCCTCCCACCCATTGCTGCCAGTCTCGAGCCCTCTCAGGAGTCTTAGTATCCTTCTGGCAACCCTTCAGTGTTTCTCTTCGGGCTATCTCTAGCGATCTTGGAGCAACCTTGGCATCAGAAGCCGGTTCGACACGAAGCGGCGGGAAAGAGACGCTGAGTTCAAGCACGTGATTCGTGGCAGGAATTCGGCCTCCTTTGCGGCCTCTTGGGAGCTGTCTTGGACCATCTCGGGCCACCTTGTGGCTTTCCCCGATCTTCGTGGAGCTGTTTTTGGGTCATCCTGGGGCCTGCCACCCACTGGTCCTGCTCGCGTGCCTGTCGCGTGCCATCTCCAATACATATTTAAGCCCTCTAGGGCCGCTCCGCGTGTGCTCTTTGATGGCGCTCTTCGCAGTCTCCGCGCCCGTCGTGGTTCCCTTCGTGACTCCTCTTGGAGCTGAATGTCTTTGACGACATCGAGGCAATGTTGGAGCCGTCTTGTGGCAGTCTTGGGGCTCCGTGGCCACTTGAAGGCGTCCTGTGGCGGTCCTTGGGCCTGTCCTAGAATGGAGGATGAAGGCTACCTGACGGTGTCGAGGTACGCAGTGGCCCTGAGGGACGTGTCCTCGAGGCCTCCTTGGTAAAGTCGGCGGTGGCTTTGCGTTTTGTCTGGCGGCGCCCTGGAATTCTGACATCGCAGGGGGGCGGGGGGGGGGGACGGGCCTGGCCTCTGTCGTGCCTCTTCCCTCCGGGGGAACTCGGGGGCCCCTCACGCGCGGGAGTTCGCAACATGCACAAAACATCGGCACCTCCTGTTCTGGAGACTGTACAGCCACGACGCTGAAATGAGGAACGGTTTGGATTCGGAAGGGGCTCGATGTTGGTCACGTCCTTTCGTGGTTGTTCCTCCAGCCCTTCTCGCGCCCCTGGGCGTTTTTGAAGCCGCAGAGGGGGCTTCGTTCCTTATTTCGCGTTCCTTATCTCAGCAGCCCGACTGAAGCACGCTCCTGGCCCGCTGGGCTGGCGAACGTGGCCCCTCTCGCAGCCTCCGCGCGCACGAGCAGCGTTCGGCGACACTGCCCTTGCGGCTTGGGGGGGCAGGCAGGCAGGGCCCGTTCGCTCCAGGCTGCACGGCGGTACCATCGGCCAGCGAGGAGGGACGAGGGACATGATTCGACGGCGAGCGAGGGGGGGGAAGTGAGAAGGAGAAGGCCTTCTCAGAAGGCGGCGGGGCTTCTCAGAAGCCCTCGCGCCTTCTGAGAAGTTCTCGCTGTCTTCGGGGAAGGCTTAGGAAACATCTCAGAAGGCCGGGGGACTTCCGAGCCTGCTGGGAAGGCCCGCCCCTTCGCTTTCCCCCCCCTCGCTCGCCGCCTAGTGATGCGCGACCGCAGGAGCAAGGCGAGGAGGCCATTGCGTGCAGCAGATGGATGGTAGCACTACACGCCGGTCGTTGCAAGTAGGTATTCTTGGATTCCCAGGTCCCAATCAACTTCAAGCGCCTTCCTACCTCAAGAGTCGACACGCTTTTGCTGTGTTTTGTTATTCTCTGGGGGGGTCTGGACCCAATCATGTTTTTATCTACTTCATGTTTTTTTATATATATATATATATATACTTCATGTTTTATATACTTCCTACTTCCTGTTTTTATCGACTTCATGTTTAATCCTACTTCCTACTTCATGCTTTTATCTACTTCCTACTTCCTACTTCATGTTGAATCCGCCTTCCTACCTCATGTTTTTATCTGCTTCTTCCGACCGACGTGCAGGCAGGAGGCCGAGGGAGCTCGCGCAGATGTGCCTCGGTGTCGTTGAACCGATGCCCATCCCCAGCCCCACACCCTTCGAGACCCCCACCTAATCCCATACCCATCCCCATCCCCATCCCCATACCCTTCGAGACCCCCATCCCCATCCCCATCCCCACACCCCATTCCCATCCCCATCCCCATCCCCATCCCCATCCCCATCCCCTCAGTATCGTTGGACGGATCCCCATCCCCATCCCCACACCCTTCGACTTTTTCTTTTCACAGCTCAAAGCGCCTTCGAGTGTGGTGGGACGCGCTTGGGTGCAGGAGCGACAGAGTCTTTGTCCTCAACCGACAGGCTGGGGTCGTTAGATTTGGAGAACAGACCTCCCGACCCCCCCGACCTCCCGACCCTTCGAGGCCCCCACCCAATTGACACCCCAGTTGGGGATGCACACCCCTCGAAGCCCGAAGGGAACGGCATATATCCCCATCCAGGGGGGCAAATTGGCCAGTGGGGCCCAGGCCACGCTGGTGGGGATGGGGATCGGATAAACGATATTCAATGCCGGCGGAGGCGTGCAGCGAGGGTCTGCTCACCATCGCGGTCGCCCCACACCAGGCGCCGCAGGGTGGGATCTCAAGCGAGCGCTTCGCACAGGCACTTGAGGCCGGGTTCTTGCACGCCGTGCCTTGATGGCGGATGTACCTTCGCCGTCTGCCGTGCTACTCTCGGGCGTCGCAGGGTGGTTGCCAGACTCTGTCGGACGCGAGGCTTTCACCCTTGACTTTTCTCACTCCCCTCGATCAAGGGAGTGGGCATTTACTAAACAGCCCTGCCCTGTTCGATCCCTTCTTTGGGCGCGTTTACTAAATGACTTAGCGTGTCGGCGGTGGTTATTCTGGGGGTCGATGCTTTGACTTCTACTTGATGGTGTTTTCCAGCATTGGGCAGGAGTGAGGCCCTGTGGGCGTAGCGGAGGCGGATAATGAGGAGGAGGACGAGCAGGTGGAGTAGGGTGGCAGCAGCAGTGCCGACGAGTAGACGGGCGGTTGGGAGCAGAAGTAGGGGGCCATGGAACAGAGATAGTGGCAGAAACGCAGGGGCAGGGGCTGATGGATACATTAAGGGATATATATAGATATAAAGAGGGAAAGAGAGAGAGAGAGAGAGAGAGAGAGAGAGCGAGAGTGAGAGAGAAACAGGAGGAGAGAGAACGCGATATAGCTATATATACATATAGATACAAACAATATAAAGAGAAACCAGTCAGCGAGAGAGATGGAGAGAGAGAGAGAGGGCGAGACAGACGAAGGCGGAAGGTACAAAAGTTGGTGAGGGGGGAGAGGAACACGCAGGTAATGTTGAGCAGGTGGTGTGCGTCCGACGTTCCAGGGACTCTCTGTAGTGTCGGTGTCGATTGGAGTGTTGTTTGCCAGGCGCTCTTGTTCGATGTTTCCTCGGATCGCCTGGGAAGTGCCACTGGCCTTGAGGTGGCCACCACGTTCGCCAGATGAGACCATTCGTCGTCTCCAGATGGTTCCGGGCCGTTTTTGGCTGTTCTGGCCAGAGGCAGACTCTGCAGATGTCCAGGTGGCCCTGAAAAAGCTTGCAGGCGTGGCTTCGATGGGTGCGCGCTCGTCTTCTGCCCTGCCTCTCCCTTTCTCTCTGCCTCGCTCAGTCTCTCTCTCTCTCTACAGTCGGGGCCCTGAAGAAGGAACCTTTTTCGTTGGGGAGGGGCTCCGCGTTCCTTAAGTGTTTCGCAGCTTGCCTCAGGTTGTCCTTATGTTTTCGATCGGAAATCGAGGCTTAACTTATGGACAAAAGGGGCCCCGTTCCTTATTTAGGGTTCCTTAGGTCAACGCCCCGACTGTAACCTCCTCTCCCTCGCTCTCTGGACAGGCCTCCCACCTCGGGCTGTAACACACTCCCTCGTCCGCTCCCTCTCCCGAGGGGGAGCTTAGCTTGCCGCGCCTTTCACACAAGCTGCGTGCACTGTCGGCCCTTAAGGCCCTGCGTGGCCGGCGCATGTGCCGACCCAGGAGGAGGAGGAGGAGGAGGAGGAGGAGGAGGAGGAGGAGGAGGAGGAGGAGGGAGGAGGAGGAGGAGGAGGAGGAGGAGGAGGAGGAGGAGGAGGAGGAGGAGGAGGAGAGGAGGAGGAGGAGGAGGAGGAGGAGGAGGAGGAGGAGGAGGAGGGAGGAGGAGGAGGAGGAGGAGGAGGAGGAGGAGGACGGCCTGCCGCCCGGCGCCCCCCCAGGTCTACGGCCCCAGGGACAACCTGTTCCTGCCGAACATCCTCGAGGAGGGGGTGGGGCTGGTAAAACGACGCGAAGATCGGGACAAAATCGGATCGGGATAACTCGAAATCTCTGAGAATCGGCGGGTGTGGAGGATGTATTGGGCGCCGCGGCCGCTCCAGAGCGTTCCGGAACGCTCTGAGAGCGGCTCCGGAACGCTCTGGAGCGATTTATCCCGATCCTAGCCCTGTTTTACGGGGCTGGGCAGAGAGGACCCGGCGCGCCATCTTCCCCAGAATCGGGCGGCCGCATACATGGATCGAGGGGGCGTGGAGCAGCGACGGGTCCCGCTGCCGCGGGAAGCCGCGGGTTTCCGCCGCCGGAGGGGGCGGCGCCGGCCGCATTCTGGGGAGGGCACCTCCCCCGATCTATGGATTTGGCGACCGCGCTCCAAGTCCGTGGATCGCTGGTCCATGTTTGCGCGCCCCCGACAGAAAGCTGACACATATATGATCCAGGGTCGAGGGTTCACGGGCCCCCCCCCAGATGGTATGGTCCCAGGATTCCTCGGGCCCCCCCCCCCCAGATGGTATGGTCCCAGAGACGACGACGACGACGACGACGACGACGACGACGACGACGACGACGACGACGACGACCTCTGAATCACCACAGCACCACACCACATCCACAGGGGGGGGAGGGGGGCACCGCAGCGCAGCACCACGCCACGCCCACTTCTGAACCACCACAGCACCACACCACATCCACAGGGAGGGGGGGGGGCACCGCAGCGCAGCACCACGCAACGCCCACAGGGGGGGGCGGGGGGGACCATCGCGGGGGGGGTGGGGGCCCAATGGCATCAGCATTGTGGAGGGGGGGGGCCCAGTGGCATCAGCATCAGCATATATTGTGGAACACGCCCCCTCCAGAGGCAGCATGGGGGCCGCGGATCTGGGATTTCTTTAGCATTCATACGTGTGCACTGAGTCGGTCTTCGTGTGCCGGGAGTTCTCGGTGGCGCCGCTGCAGTGTAAACAGATGTGGGGCGTTGACAACGCTCAGGCGTGCCACGGCCGAGGTGCGGGTCCTTCCCAACGGGCTCTCGGTGGCGGTGGCCCATGTTTATTTGTCTGATTCCGGGAAGGGGTCGGCCATTCAGAAATCACCCCCAGAAGGGCGCCCTTTCGCCTTGATCCCCCGCACGTCCCGCGACTCTTACAATGCTTGGGGCCGTTCTCGGGGTCGGTGGACAGCGTGTTTTGGAAGCCTCAGGCAGGCAGGGACCACGCTTCGTTTGCGGGCTTCGTCCTGCGCTGGTGGAGCCGTCTGTTGTCCCAGTTCTCAGAGGACGAGCAGATACCGATGTCGCTGCCCTCACCCGCGTCGCCATGGCCATGCTCGCCTCGAAGTCCTGGTCAGAGCTCACCCCAGAAGAGGTCTTGGGAGTAGCGGTGTCGGTATCTTTTTGCTCGCTCCAGCTCGTCTTGCAGTTCCGGGCCCGGGTTGAATTGGGCTCGATCACGCGGTGCCCCCTCCGAGGGAGAAGCGGAGAGGTGAGGAGGGGCATTTGCGTGGGAGGGGCTACACACGACAGAGGGGATAGGCCCTGGAGGGGATGCATCGACCTCCAATCGTCTATGGACCGCCGATGCGGGTTCGACAGCCCACCCCGCTCGGGAGCTTGCGGATTCGCTGTCGGGGGCCCATCGCCGCCTACCGGCGAGGGATCGCCGATTCTAGGTCGATGCTTCCCCCCCTGATTCTAGGTCGATTCTAGGTCGATTCTAGGCCTATCGCCGATTCTAGGTCTAGGTCTATCACCGATTCTAGGTCTATCGCCGATTCTAGGTCTATCGCCGATTCTAGGTCGATTCTAGGCTGGTTCCCCCTGCCATTCCCCCCCCCAGTGCGGGAGGGAAGAGAGGCGACGCAGAGGGAAGATGCCGTGCGGCCGTGGAGGTGAGCGGACTGGGCAAGTTGCGCGTGTTCGGGCCGGGCCGCAACCGCATCTGCTTCACGCACGTGGACAACTACGCGCACGCGCCGCGCGCCCGGCAGCCGGCCGTCCAGGGGGCGAGTGCGCGCAGGCCTACCGAAGCGGGGATTTGTGATAACACGGGACATTGGCGCGCCCGAGAGAGTTGCAGCCGCGGGCTAAGCGTGGATCGATTCTTCGGTCCCTCCAGGTGGGATTGTTTTTGAAGGCCCTGATCAGCAACGTGCCGGTTCAGGGGGGCCCAGATGGTTTCGTGATTCTGGCGTCCCTGTCGCGCCCCACAGGCGAACTCTCTTTCTTATCTTGCACAATCGTGCAGGCAGCCTCTTGTGACTTGGACCTGAAGGATGGACTGCGCCAACTTGCAGCTGCCATTTGTATCGACAGTGCGAAAGCACGCACGCGGGGCCTAGAAGGAACCCTGGATGCACACGGAGAGGCCAACGGACTCCACGCGTCTGGCTGACTCGTCGTTTGTAAGTTCCCTTCTGGAGTCCCGCGCACTGACGGGCTTTTACTCGTCGTTGAAGGAATTGGCTCTGTGGGTTGTGGTTTCTGGTTGTGGCCCATGGGGTCTCGCCCTCTGGATTCCGCCCTTCGTTGCCTTAGCCGTGAGCTCCCAGACTTCGGGCCCTGCTCTTACCTGTTGCTGTTGGACTCCATCGGGTCCCGTCTTTCGTTGCCCTGGGACTGTATTTCCTGGTTGTCGCCCGCTCGGTCCCGTTCACAGCGTCCCGCCTTCTGTTGCCTTGTGGTGATCGGCAGTTTTGACGAACCAACAACACACACCCATACCCATAGGGGGATCGGAGAGGGCTATGGGTGCGTGTTGTCGGATGGCGGTCCCCGCTCGAACGGGAGCGTTCCCCAGGGTCCGACAACCCGCACCCATACCCATAGCCAGTCCTCCTCCCAACGACCTCCCTATGGCTATGGGTGTGTGTTGTTCGTTCGTCAAGTTTGTTGTCCGCTGTTGCCCGTAGTGGGCGTTGCCCTACAACGGCAGGCGCGTCGAGTAAGAAGTGGGCCTGCCAGCAGCTGCCCCGCGGAGGGCTCTTACAGGGGGGGCCCTGCAGAAGGAACCCTTTTCGTTGGGGAGGGGCTCGGTGCTCCTTGACTGTTCTGCAGTTTGCCTTCGGCGTTCCTTAGGTTTCCCATGGGAAATGGAGGTTCAAGGTATGGGAGGAAGGGGCCTCGTTCCTTAGTTAGGGCTCCTTAGGTCAAGGCCCCGACTGTATTTCCGGATGGCCTTCTGGCCTGGCCTTCAGATGCCTGGGTGGTTGGGCTTCCAGTCGTCACCCGACGTGGGGCTGCGCCTCTCTTTGCCGTGGGCGTCGAATCTGTCGGTCGTCGTTACTAGTGTCCCGTGCAGAGGGTTTCGCCTTTGTTGTCTGGTCCTTCACGTTTTTCAGTTGTGCGCCCACGCGCTGACGTCATGCCGACATGTTCAAGTAGTACGAGGCAGGGGAGTGCTACCCAGATGACCACAGTCGATGGTCTCCGCCAGCGCCACTCGACGTTCAAGGGCATCACATTCGCGCCGATCGGCGCCACGAAAGCACAGGTCAAAGACTCGCGTCTGCGGCCTCCTTCAAGTCCAGGTTGATCGAGTCTGCTGTATTCAAGCACCCGGACTCCAGGCCCCAGGTCTTGCTATAGACTGCGGCCGCGCGGGTGGCGCACGGTATGCTGCCCGCCTCGGCACCGGGGCAGCTGGCCTTGATCGAGCGGGCTCTTCCCGCGGCGGCGCGGAGCCTGGAGCACTGTCAGCAGGGGGGCTGCGCTCGGTCGGCCTTGGACAAAGCAGAGTGGACGGACCATTACGTTTTGAGGAAAAACGTGCCTTTCGGATTGGATCTGTCCCCTGATCTAGGCTTTAAGCCCGTTATATACTCTTTTCCCCCGTCCTCTCTCCCTCTTATCTCTCTCCCATTGCTGCCGGCTCGGTTCGAGCCGGCTTGAGGCGAATTGGTTCCTGGCAGCAGGACTGGAAAAGGGGGCTCGCTCCACCTCGAGCCCTGCGGGCTCCGCCGCCGACCCCCGCTGCGGGATCGGGAGGTCAAGAGGGGGCCCAACCCGGTTCCGCACGTTTCTCCGGGCGTGCGAGAGGAGGAGGAGGAGGAGGAGGAGGAGGAGGAGGAGGTCAATCGAGTGCGGCAGTGCGCGGTGGCATGCCATCTGATGCCCCAGCAGGGCGACCCTCGGACCACGGAGGCCGGGCCATGCCCGGGCTTCAGGAGCTCAAGCAACTGGTGGGCGCGCCGCCCCGAAGCGGCATCACCGACGAGATGGAGCAGGTGCGGCTGGCGGCCAACCCGGAGGGGCTCGCTTTGCTGCAGAAGCGACTCCAGATTTCGTAATAAAGGGAGGGGGGTCTCATTTCGGGGGGGGGTCTCTTCCAGGCTACCTTGGAGGGCCTGGGGGGGTCTGGGGACGATGTTTTGGAGGGTTCTCCCACGGGGGGGTCTAAAACTTCTCGTCTGGGAGGGTTGAGACCCTGACTCTGACGATTTTTTGACTACTTCACTGGGCTGTAGCTGTAGTCTGAGCACACAACGGCCATGGAGACAGCAGAGAGCGAGAGGAGCAGGGGGACAAGGAGAGAACAAGACAGACAATGGATGGTGTGTGCACAAAGGAATTACACATGCACGCAAATTCGGCCCAGATTACTTTTGCGATATATCAGCATGCACAACAGAGCATGCGTGCCTGCACTCTCCCAGCACAGACGAGAAACACCCGGGGTGCCGGAATCACTCGCACCACGCCAGCACAAATGTGCGACTGCAAATATCAATGGGCCGTGCAAGGGGGAGAAAGAAGAGGGGGAACAGCAACGCAAGGGTTAAGCATTGGTAGCCCATTTCGCTTTGGCACGAAGAAGAGCACGAGACACACACGAGAGATAAGGATGCTTCAACAACAATCTGGACGCAGCATCTTCGAGGGCCTTCCACGGGTACTCAAGGCACCGCAGTTCGAGAAACAAAGACGCAATCGAACCTTCAGGGTCGACAACAAGACACCGATCCACACATTGAGTGATCAAGCCTATACCACTGCCAATTTTCTCCTGGAGGCTACGATTCGCATGCCAAGCCTGATAGCGAGGGAAAGGGAGCGAGAGAGGGGCCGGAGAAGAGAGAATATCAACATTACGGATATGAGGGCGTAGCTGGACACATGAACCCAACATGACATCAAAACCAACGAACACTGCAGGGTCTTCAATCTTCAAGTTCAAACATACATGATTGGTTTTGCGCGTGATGCGAGAATGCACGGCTCCAGTGTACGCAGATGAGAATTCTTTCATGAAGTCTCCGGTAGCTGACTTAACAGCTCTCATTCCCTCCTCATCATTGCCGTGTTTTGTCCAAAAACATAAAACACCGAAAATGTCATCTGTCCAACGGCAAATAACGTTGTTGACGTGCTGGACATGGGGGAGGCTCACGATCGCAGGGACGAGGCATTGTTTCCGTTCCAGGTAACAGCACACGGCGTTACAAACACCAGGTGACAAATTACTACCCTGTGTCATGCCTTCCCTTGGCGCGAACAGATCATGGCCAAAATGAAGAAAACCATAAGACAAGTCCATCTGCACAATTCGCTTAATATCATCAACGTGAAGGGTAAACGAATTAGACGACACGACGCGACAATTATGAGGGGAAGGAAACACCCGATCACCACAAGCAAGATTACGGAAATGAGCCCGGAAACTCCTAGAGAAACACGTGGGACCCTCGCAATAACGATTGGCCGGCTTCCTACACCGAGGAATATTGATGTATCGACGCCGGGTACCATGCTTATCGTACCGCTCAGCAACGAGCCAATCCAATGCTTTCGGAATCAAAGCGCGCGGAACATTGTTAAAGAAATTTTCGATATCTCGTTTGAACGACACCATCGTAAGCTCGAAGCCTCGGTCTTTCCACACCTGGCAATCAAGATTGAAAGAATGAAAGCGAGAGAGAACAGAAGCAGAAGAAGAAACAGAGATGGAAGCAGGACGGGTGGACAAGAGCATGAAATTGATGGCGCGACAACAGAGAGAGAAGAGACCTCTCAAACAGTGCTTCGAATAAGAACCCAGAGGCCGACTCTTCACAGCAAGATTCTTTAGGCTTACGCCACACCGCCGACCCCTTGTTTTTTTGAGGCAATCTTGGACGTCTTGGGGGCGTCATGGCCCGACTTTATCCCCCGAGCCAGTACGACTCGAAAGATGCGGGGGAGAGGCTTTGCAGGGCGCGCGCCCGCAACGAGAAGGGTGGGCGGAACGAGAAGGCGGATGCAGAGAATCGCAAGCGGAAAGCAGAGGCGGACGCGAAGCCGCTGACGTGCGCGGCGTGCGAAGGCGCGTTCTCGGACACGAAACATTTGAAGCAGAAGCAAATGGAACATCATCGAGCGGCGACAGGAGCTAAAGTGGTGTGCAGAAGCTGCGAGGAAGTCGGGTTCACAGCGCGCAGTTGCCAGGCTTATCACTGCAGCGGCGCGTGCAAGAGAGGACTACCAAAGTCGGCGTTCCCCGACCCGCACAATGTCCCGCGCGACGCAAAGAAGGGCACCCTAAAGTGCAAGACGTGCAAATGATGCCCATTCGGTTGCGCGTACTGGGCAGAAAAGGGAGGACGGGAAGAGGAGGATGGGGGGTGAGGCGGAAAATGGGGGGGAGAAGCATCGGTGAGGATGAGCTGAAGCGGGGCAGGAAGAGGAGGAGGGGAACGAGGAGGAAGTGTAGGAGGAGGAGGAAGAGGAGGAGGAGGGGGACACTGAGATGAGGCTCCGGGTTATGGGGCTGGGCGCGACTCGAAAAACCGGTGTGTTCGGAGATGTCCGTTGGGATCTTGCGGGGGGGCTTCTTGCGGGCCTCTTGGAGCAGTTTCGAAGGCTCTTGGGGGCCGTTTTGGGGCCTCTTTGTGGCTTCTTGGGCGCCTCTTGGAACGTCTTGGGGGCCTCTTGGGGGGTTCTTGGGGCTTCTTTGGGGCCTATTGGGGCCTCCTGGGGGCCTCTTGGGGCGTAAGGCTGGGTTTTCCGGTGCGTGGTCTCTCTCTGGGGCCCCTCTTGGGCCCGTCTCCGGGAGATTCTTGGGCCGTCTTGGGCGGCTCTTGGGCCGTCTGGGGGCTCTCTTGGGCCGCCTTGGGCGGCTCTTGGGCCGTCTGGGGGCTCTCCTGGGCCGTCTTGGGGGCGTCGTGGAGGCCTCTTGTGCCGTCTTGGAGCAGTCTTGGGAGCTTCTTGGGCTGTCTTGGAGCGTCGGAAGGCCGAAAAAGGCGAAAATGACGAAAACATAAAAACAATGAAAATCAACGATTTTGGCCTCTTGGGGCGCTCCTCGGGGGCCTTTTGACTTTAAACGGAGAGGGTTAAAGGCGAGATGTATATCGAGCATGCACCGCTGCCGTGCCTGGCTCAAGCCGGGCCCGGCCTAATATGTGATTGTGCCTCATTGAGGCGCACTACTTGTATCTGAGATCGGAAAATACCTTTTCCATTGACGATGCCCCTTCTATCCTTTACTCCAGATCCCATGCTTCGTCTTGCTCTCTTGCTCATGCGATATGAGACAAAGCCTGGGATATGGGAGCGCCTAAGGCGGAACATATATCTTGGCTTACCAGTGCGTTTTCGACTTGGTAGCGGAGCTGGCTACACTCTCGTGTGGCTGGCTCTCGCTCTAATTCCTGTAATCCACGGCACAACTTGGTGGACTACTACTACGGTGGAATACCATGTTGCGCCGGCTCTGCGAGGAGCGGAGCCAGTCCGCGATCGAGCTAGCGGGGCGACCCGCGAGCTCGAGACGCTCTCTCCTACTTCACTGCGCTACTTCACTCCCGACTTCCACCAGATGCCAATCGGCAACTCGATCGAGAACGTGGTCACTCTGCGGGGCTACCCGCAGCGGGGCCACCTGCATCCCATGCCGGTCAGGCGCCTTACGGCTACTACGCCCGAGCCGGACAAACCACAGCCTAAACCAATCACCGAAGCCGAGATGCACATGCGCTGGATTAAGATAACTATCTTCGGCATTCTATGGGTGATAATGGGATGTGCTGTGGGCTACATGCGGCAGGGGATGGACGACACGCGTGCTACCGGCCCTTCGTGGGACCCAGCCGGTACCACGCCCTTTCGCGAGTACGCTCGCGAAGTACATGCATGGATAAACGTAACGAGCGGCAATATGACGCCACCTCAGCAAGCTGCAGCACTACAACGTGGCCTTCAAGGCCTTGCTCGTCGTATCGCCATGCAGGTCCCCTCCCAGATCATCAACTATGGTGTAACTGTCAACGGACAGCCAACGGATGCAGTTACTTATATACTGTACCTATTGAGCACCAAATTTGAAAATCTGGAAGATGAGCGCCAGCTCAACTCTGGCACTGCCCTTATCGACTTTCGCGTCGAAAGGGGCGAGCGAATCGACTCAGTGTTAGCTCGATTCGAGATGGCCCGTGACGAGGCTAACTCTGTTGGCTTCGTCATCCCCAGCTTTCAGATCCTAACGCTGATCCTTTTCAGAGCGTTAGGCGATGGCGCGTCACGAGCCCAACTCCTGCTGGAGCCCTTTAATCATCAGATGCCCAGAACACAAGCAGACTATGATAGGCTGCTGACCAGGATGAGGAACTACGGGCATGTTGCCGAGCGCTCTCCTGGCAACATTGCGGGTATCTTCGCAGGGCACCACTCACATGCAGGTGTCTACGCCACGACTGCGGGGTCACCCGCTGGTCCTGGCGAGCCAAGTCCCTGGGCTGATCCAGCCGATATGCCCAACGAGGCCACTGCCCTCTTAGGGCAGACTGGCCAGGCATCGGCAGAGGCAGCGGAGGCGAACGCCTGGTCGAACTACACGCCGGGCGCCGCCTACACTGCAAGCCCGCCCTCGGGCACAACCCTCTGGGGCCAAGCGGAGTCATCCGCTCAAGGGTCTCAGCCACCCTCTCCGTTTGAATCTGGCACTGACACAGATACCTCATCTGACGGTGATCACAATGGTATGGTCTCTGCTGGCAATGATTATCCAGCTGATGACACTCACCTTTCTGAACAACAAAGAGCGGAAGCCGCTTTTATGGCTTATCGCAAATCAAAACGCCGTTGGAGGCGCTTTATGAAGAAACCGGTCAGAAAAGTAGCGAGACGTGCAGTGCGCCGATATTTCAAACGCTATGGAAAGGGTCGTGGCAAAGGGGGTCGCAGACGCCGTATGCATGGTAGGGGTATCACTGCTTTCCTCACGTCCTTAACTGACATAGTTCTTGAAGAAGTTCTTATCGGAGGCAAAGGTCGGGGTCACAGGCGGACCTCTGGTAAGGGAAAAGGGCGGAGG